GTGTAATAAATATATCATTTTGTAGATAAACATTTAGTTTGGTGTGCATCCTTTTATATATATATATATATATATATATATATATAAGCCAAGCTTCATAACCACTACAGCCTGCTGATTTGAGAAATCAAAGAGGTGCGATATTTAAAAGAGAGGCAAGCAGCCAAATATAAGAAGTCTTGGGTAGATACATTTATGGAGCCCAGTCATTCGAAAAACAGCAACAGCAAAGTAATAAACATAAAGAATAGGTACAATAACAACAAGAGCGTAAACTAACAAAAGCCAATAAAATAACTTCTCTCTTCAGTAATTTTGAACACCAGGAAGATTTGCTACATGACAGGGGCAGAGTGGCCATATGGGCAGGTGAATCTGTACCAATCAAACCATCCCCTCCCCCTTTAATAAAACACAACACGTCTGTGTATGGGAAAACTTGTCCACAGCTTTTATTGAACATAACATATAATAAAAAAAGTCACTGCCCCCAACCTATTGCCGTCTTATAATTTTAGCAGACGCAATAATAAATGGGGCAATGACTAACCATAAATTACATATAATAATATATAGCACATAACCAATAAAGTGACAACATTTTCTTAACAGCCCAGTGGTGAGGGTATACCCGGACACCCTCTCCCGTCCGAGGTTCTGAGCCACCTACGGACTCGAAACCTCCCAACACCATAACCAACTGAAAACTCCAATTGTATTTCACCATTCCTTTTTACCTACTCCTTGCTCCTTTTCTAACTCCAAAGTCCCTATCCCCCCATTTTCTTTCCTTTACCAGCCCCGCCACTGTGGCCAAGCGGGAGAAAACAAAATCACCCAATCTCTAGGGCGGGAGGGAGGGACAAACCTTCGTTGGTGAGTACATTAAAATTGACTATTCCTAAGATGGCTGCCCCTATATATATGCTCCCACCCCTTAGACCCAATCTACCAATCCTGTTACTGCTCCACCTATGCCCACTTACTAGCCCTGTCAGGGCCCCTTTCTACTAAACTGCACTCGCTCCAAAGGGCTACACTCACACTGTCTGAGTCCTTTTGTAGATTTTATGGTATTGTTTGTCATTTTTCTTTTCTTTATTAAACTTTGTATTATTGATCCATGTCTCGTATTACTTGTTTTGTTTTTTACTAAAATGCAATATAGAAATATGCCAGCTATGTACTCTTTCGAGTAAATCTTTTTTTAAGGAACTTGCAAGGTTGGGTAAGATTGTTAAATTATTATTTGCTGTTTTACTTCCTCTTTCAAATTCATGACCAACCTCCTGAGAAATTGTGCAAAAACGAATTCTTCTCTGTCTGTCCACAAACATGAATCTCATTTAATTATCTTTTCTGAAAGTATGTTTAATTTACACGCAAAATATGTCTTATTAAAAGATATTCTAGGCCCGCTTATATCCATACCGTATAAACTGCACAAATACTAACCATACAGCTGTTCTGTCATTGGAGATAATACTATATAGAAAATTAAAATTAACAAGATCTAATATTCAAAATGCATTGGCCACATAAAATTAGAAAACATAAGAAACAAACAAAAAAGGAAAAAGAAAAACATTTTAAACATGAATAAAGTGCACATGCAAGTATAGTGCTAATATATATATACATATATAACACTGCTTTGCTGCCAACACAGATTAATGGAATTAATATTAACAAAGTTGATGCATCTACTATAGGAAGGTCTATTTAAATTATCTTAAAAATAAATAACTAAGTAAATAAATAAACATTCAGTAAAAAGACCACATCCAAGGAAATACAAAACAGGTGATGTCTATAGATAACCTAACAAATATATATTATTTTATTTTTTTTTTAAATCAGGTGGGTTCCATACTTACCTTTCTCACGTCCAGGTAGTGTCTGTGTTTTTAATGAGTTAGCATAATAGAAAAAATATTTTAAAATAAAGCATATATGAAGTCAATATGATCCTCTGAAATTGTTCATGTTACTGTAATAGTAACAAATCATTAAAAATATAAATACTGAGATTGTTCCAAATTCCCGCAATGACCATTAATGTAAGTCCTCTGAGATGTTCTGTGTATGTGCTGGCTCTGACAAAGGTAAGGAAACAGTGTCTCATAAATGGTATTGAAAGCAAATACTGAAAGGGTTGGGACTAGAAAGTGAAACTCATATGCAAAAGGACACGTACTGAAAGTTATGACACAACACAATAACAGACTGGAATTCTTAAAGGACCACTCTAGGCACCCAGACCACTTCAGCTTAATGAAGTGGTCTAGGTGCCAGGTCCTTCTAGGGTTAACCCATTTTTTCATAATTATAGCAGTTTCAGAGAAACTGCTATAATTATGAATGGGTTAAGCCTTCCTCCTAATCCTCTAGTGGCTGTCTCATTGAGAGCCACTAGAGGCGCTTGCGTGCTTCTCACTGTGATTTTCACAGTGAGAGCACGCCAGCGTCCATAGGAAAGCATTGTAAATGCTTTCCTATGCGACGGGCTGAATGCGCGCGCAGCTCTTGCTGCGCGTGCGCATTCAGCCCAGGAGGAGGAATGGAGGAGGAGAGAAGGAGGAGAGCTCTCCGCCCAGCGCTGGAAAAAGGTAAGTTTTTACCCCTTTCCCCTTCCAGAGCCGGGCGGGAGGGGGTCCCTGAGGGTGGGGGCACCCTCAGGGCACTATAGTGCCAGGAAAACGAGTATGTTTTCCTGGCACTATAGTGGTCCTTTAAAGACAATGATGGAAAAGAATGATCATGGAGACCCAAGACCAAGGAAGGATGGCAAGAGGGACAAGGGACAGTTGCCCCCCCAGGGTGTCTAGTATACAGAGGATTATGGGCTGCTGCCTCACAGGTCAATACTAAACTATTTTACATAACTGTATATATAACTGTATTTTATTATCATATTCCAGTTCTTGTGCTACGAATATACAACATTTAATTTTCACTGAAGCACCCAAAGTGTTAATTCTTAGATCCCTCACCTATTTATCCCAAAAAATAAACCAGTTATTAAAGATTCTTCTTTTGGGAAGACTATTACTAAGTGAATATTTGAAATATGTGGAACCTCCCCCTCCCACCCCCCACAAACAATTCTTAACCTGTGTCCCTAGATTACATGATTGCACACAGGGTGGAAATGCCTGTCATCTCCCCCTGAAGTGTAAAAAAAAATGGTGGGCTTCTTCTGACCACTCCCAATCTGCTTTGTTAGGTAAATTACACCCATACATTGACATTCATGTACACACATTCATTCAAATACAGACACATGGACACATATACACAGACATACATTGATATCAATAAACACAGACTAATACACAAACACACATGAATACACAGACTCATACAGACACACATTTATATACAAGACAGTAATACCTTCAAGGTAGTGCGTTCAGGAGCTGATTCACTTATGAATGGCTTAATTGATACAGTTGGATACAGTAGTATTAGTATCTAGAACAAAACAATATTGTTCTAGATACTAATACTACTGTATCCAACTGTATCAATTAAGCCATTCATAAGTGAATCAGCTCCTGAACGCACTACCTTGAAGGCAGGGGTCAAGTCCTGGGGAAAAAAGTGTGGGAACTCACCCAAGATACCCGCCTCCCACCCCCCCCTTAAAAAAAAATTTTAAAAAAAAATCACACTCCTATGCATATAGTGCAGTGCGTGTATAATGAATGTAGTGTGTTTGTAGTGAATGCAGTGTGAATAATAATTGTAGTGTATTTGTAGTGAGTGCAGAGTGTGTATAATGAATGCAGTGTGTTTTTAGTGAGTGCAGAGTGTGTATAATGAATGTAGTGTATTTGTAGTGAGTGCAGTGTGTATAATAAATGTAGTGTATTTGTAGTGAGTGCAGTGTGTATAATAAATATAGTGTGTTTTAGTGAGTGCAGTGTGTATAGTGAATGCAGTGTGTATAGTGAATGTAGTGTTTTTGTAGTGAGTGCAGAGTGTGTATAATGAATGGAGAGTGTGTATAATGAATTTAGTGTGTTTGTAGTGAGTGCAGAATGTGTACAATGAATGCAGTGTATGTAGTGTGTTTGTAGTGAATGTAGAGTGTGTATAGTGAATGTAGTGTGTAGTTAGTGCATAATGTGCATAATGAATGCAGAGTGTGTATAGTGAATGCAGAGGGTGTATAGTGAATGCAGAGGGTGTATAGTGAATGTAGTGTGTTTGTAGTGAGTGAAGAGTGTGTATAATGAATGCAGCATGTGCTGGATGATGTGTGTGTGCGCGCTGGATGACGTGTGTGTGAGTGCTGGATGATGTGTGTGTGTGTGCTGGATGATGGGTGTGTGTGTGCTGGATGATGTGTGTGTGTGTGCTGGATGATTTGTGTGTGTGTGCTGGATGAT